TCCGTGGTTCGAGTCCCGGCGTCTGCATTGCTCATTTTTCATGTCTCCTGCTTTAAAAAAATACCTAACGTCTGTACAGTAAAAGAATATCTAAGTACTAATGTCAATATCTATTCTTTGGATCTGAGATGAGTTGCCGTTTTATACCTTCGTGCCCATAACAACAAATATCAATCATCGGTGCTCATCGTAGCGATTGGCCATCCTTGGCTGAACGTCCTTGATGCCGAATCTGTGGTTATAAATGGTTACCAAAGTCTATGAAACACAGAAGGATTCACATTTAGCCATCAGGCCACTTCTGTCTGACTTAGTCGTACCTCTAGTCTCCCAATAGCTCTCCATCGTTATTTTTCGGGAAAATGATGCCTAGAGGAGGTTTGATTCCGGCATACCGCTGGGTTTCATGTATGCGTCTCTCCTCTCCTTTCGCAGGTGGAATATGGGGTCCATCCCGAGAGTGCATGCCGTGTAAGAGATAGAGATGGTCTGAGGATGGTCTAGTAGTCATTATTTTCATAGTCTTAAGGCATAAAAATCATTAAAAAATTATTCATTGAAACAGACTTGTCTGTATTTCGAACGCCTCTTGATTAGGTGAGGAATTAATCTTTTTCAAATGTGACACCCGTTTAAAATCTTGATTAGTATAGTTAAATAAATATAACATTTCTGCATGCATAAGCTGTAATACAAAATCGTCGAAAAAGATAAAATTCAATTAATATAAATATATTTCTCAAAAGGACTTTTCACACGATATTTGCATTTTAAATTAGTACACTAGCACCAAGTACGTTTTTGAATCACGCTGCAGAGTGTTATGTTTTTTACTTTATAGATTAGCAGTTGTATAATTGTATCTTAATTAATCAATATAATAATTAGTTTAATGAATGCTAACAAAATGTAATATGCAGCTAAATAAAGTATATACGATTTGTAAAAACAACTTGCAGACGTCAGAATTTTACTTTTATAATGGCCGCATAAAAGTAAAGCAGAATGAGATTCATAAAGAGATACCTCTCTCAATAAACTTTTCAGGCGCGAGATCAAGACGCATTTTTTGCTCTGTGGGGGATCTTTTTTCTTCTGTATTTACAGAACAAGCTAATATAATTTTGTGCAACAGCTCTATATAGTTTAAATACCTTGAAGAAAATTAATCTGTTATATAGAGTGCATTAATGACAATTACCGTATTTCCTCGTGTATTTTTGCCCTTTTTTAAAACTTATTTTGTCGTTCGAAAATCAATCTGGCAAATTAATGACGATTACCGTATTTCCTCGTGTATTTTTGCCCTTTTTTAAAACTTATTTTGTCGTTCGAAAATCAGTCTGGCAAATTATGCCAGTAATTTAATTTGCGAAGAACGCGGTTACGGAAAGAACATAGCAAATGAAAAATAGTAATGGATCAACTACTGGTAACTATCACAATATTATTTCTTTAAACGAAGCTAACATTCCAACAAGAATATATCGTAATATTAACGTTACAACATCTGGCGGATATTTAATAGTAATTGAGCCGAACACGTCGCGCAGATGAATCTTAACCGCAGTTCCCAAGAGCGACATTGGAGGAATGAAAGAGTAGAAGGGAGAACAAAAGATACGGATTTGGAAACATTCAAGTCATGTTATCAAATACTAGGGTCTCTGGGTACGAGACCCTACGCCTACTCGAATTAAATTGAAAGTTACGAGTTAAATTCTGCCAATAACTTAGATCAGTTTGTAAAGACATTGGGATATTTCGAAGCCAGACAGGTAAAAAATGAGCAAAGCCTTCGCCGGGAATCGAACCACGGACCTCTGGAATACGCGCCCAGCGTGCAGACCACTACACCACGAAGGAACGCTAAGAAGGCGGGAGAAATACCTTATAAGTTGTCTTAAATAATGGTTAAATATTAATAATTTTTTAAACTGAATTTAGAATACTAAATTTGAGAGAAGAGGAAAACGAAAGCTGCTGAGCTGGGGCATAATTCGTATGTTAAATATGCTAATCACCCAGTGCCATTAACTAATAATAGTTACACAAAAGATATAATAAATAGAAATACTACATTAATGTAAATACAACCCAAAAGTTGTTATAGTTTCAGAGACATCACGCAATACCTTACTTTTTCATCACAATGCTCGGGTTTAAAATTGCCATAGGTCTTTTTCTCTTGGTCATACTATTGTAATTATATTTGTCGGTTCTGATTTCAGAGTTTGAGATATTTCTCATTTGAAAGTGAAATTTTCAAATGAGAAATACTCAGTTCCAGATCAGAAATACTCAGTACCAGTACAATACTCAGTTCTTCATGGATAACATTGTTTCTCCCATACCAGGATGTGTTGACAATTTTACGCACAGCAGATTTCTGCGCCGTTTAAGCTATTTTGAAACATCGAAGACATTAACAGTAGATAAGGCTACAGAGAGCTGGAATGTGCAGCGCAGATGGGAAACTGGTTAGTGATATTGTCTGCCTTACCGAATCCAGGAGAAGGCATAGATATTCGTAAATATACAGTGGTGGGCAAAATTGTGGACACTTTTGGAAATTTTTATGTTTTTGAACTTTGTATGCTTATAGAAAACGTTACGTTTCACAAAATGCAAACTTGTATATATCAGTTTAAAGAGAATTTATTACTGAATTCAATACAAAACACAAAATTCAATTATTTGCAATACAAAAAAGTTAAACGATAATAGTTATCGATATAGATTAGATAGTGATGATTGCAGTGAGTTATCAGTACTTAGTAGGGTACACTTTATTTTTTGATTACAGTTTCACATCGACGTTTCATTGAGCTGACAAGAGTTTTAAGCTCTTCTTTCGTTATTACACTATGCTAGGAAACAATTATAGCCTCAATTAGTTCCCTTTTATTTGATAGGTGCCTCATTCGGACAAGAGTTTTCAAACGGTGCCACAAATTTTCAATAGGATTGAGGTCAGGACTGTTTCCTGGCCATGACAACAATTTAATGCGCTTTGTACGACCACTCTTTCGATATTTTGGCCGTGTGGCAAGGAGCAGAATACTGCTGAAAAATAAACGAAGCATTGTTGGGAAAGAGATCTCTGATGGAAGGTAGAAGTTTTGGTTCTAGAATAGTGTCAGTGTATTTTCTGGCATTCAGTGTCCCATCGATGACATGAAGGCGACCAATACCATCTGCTGACATGCATGACCAAATCATAACACTAACTGGGTTCTTCACAATTGCTTGAATGCAGTCAGGATGTAGCTCTTCTCCTATTCTACGTCTTGCATATTTTCGCCCATCACTACCAAATAACGATATCTTAGTTTCATCACTCCATATAACTTGTGACCACTGATCATCTGTCCAATTAATGTGTTCCTTTGCCCACTGTAGTCTTTTTTTTTCGTTGCTGAAAATTAAGCTAAGGCTTTTTTCGTGGAATTCTACCTCTAAGTCCAACATCTGTTAATCTTCTCCTGATTGTTCTTGAACTGACAGAAACACCAGCATCATTCAGATCACTTCTGATGGCCACTGATGACATTTTTCTATCTTGGAGACATAGTCTTTTTATTCTTCTGTCATCAATAGATGTGGTGCACCTTTTTCGGCCTTTTCCTTCTTTGTTTTTTATCGAATTTGTCTCCTGATATCGTAAAAAAAAAATTCAGACTCCAGATGTTGTCACTGAACTACCCACCTGTCTTGCAATTTCAGCATAGGAGAGACTACGTTTTCGTAACACAATAATATTACATCTCTTTCTAGGTGTCCAATCTACTCTTTTATTTGATACCATTGCTTCTTGACTAAATATTAAAAATGTTTAAGAAAATTTCTACTTGTAATTGCAGTGTATAACAAACAGGTCCTCCTTCTACAGAACAAAGCAAAATAATGAATTGTTTCAAGTGTAAACATGATGTCAGCTTCTACTGGCAGTTACTAACATTTGATTGGTTCTCAGAAAAAGAACAGTGATTGGCCAGGAAAGCTAGACATTACAAACCACTTCATAACTGTTTTTTTTTATTTATATTAAAGTACATATAACTTTTTTTGTATGGCAAATAATTGAATTTTCTGTTTTGTATTGAATTCAGTAATAAATTCTCTTTAAAATGATATATACAAGTTTGCATTTTGCGAAATGTAACATTTTCTATAAACATACAAAGTTCAAAAACATAAAAATTTCCAAAAGTGTCCACAATTTTGGCCACCACTGTAAAGTGTTTATACGGTAATGGGGGCACTCAGAATATACGACAAGCCTAAAGTTATCTCGAGAGGCTGGCGTTAGGGAAAAAGGGATGGGACGTATTCGGACCGTCCTCCAGAGTGCTGTTCTTCAAAATTTGGGCGGAACTGAGCAAAATCGTACTGCCTCTTGTGTGATGCTCAGATCCAATGACAGATGTAATTTTTTACGCCTCACCACCATAAAATCCGTTGTCTTTTTATGATTAGTTCAGACAAGTGAGATTAGTCACAACAACACAATAGAGCTGGGATGTAAATAATAGAAGTAAGGTGAAAGTTCATATTTGAAAGTTTCTTTGGAGAACACCTGCGACGTTTGGGTAGCTTAACGTTTCAAATAACGAATGCAAGGAAAAATAAAGTGGCTGAAATGCTAAAGCAAAAATGCAGATACAAACTGAATAACGTTGAATAAAAATAAAAAAATCAAAGGAATAAAATTTACTAGTAAACTAGCCGTAAAAGAAAGAACAATACAAATAGGTGAAGGGGAAATTATGCGAATATTTTAAAAATATTCAGAACCTAGCGCTAAAAAGCTAGGGGGGGATACGCAAGGAAATGCGATATATGTGGGGATTGAAGAATTACTCTCAATTCCTTTCTTTATTCCCGAAATTCTGCGAATAGTTTCTTTTTGTTTGAAAGCTCAGTTAATTCAAGTAATACTGTCCTATTCTTTTTACTTAATTGATGCCTGAGATTTACTGTATCATGTCTTTTTTCAGAAGATTATTTCACGTTTCTCAACAATCATGGTCGTCAGCGATAGTTGTCAAATCGCGGGAGATGATTCTGAGGTGGTAAGTTTTTTATATTCTTAAGACACTGACAGTCAGAATAGGAATAAATAAATGAAAATTTCAATCAAAACAATTTGATTGAAGGTATAAATTAAACGTAATTGCCAAAGAAAATATATTAATACCTGATACACTGAGTGGTTTTTCATTTCTATTTTTGTGGCTATTGCGCCTTTATCGAATCCTATGACATAATGAACCATGTCTCATTGAACAATGAAGATGTCGAAGCTAAAGTGTGAAGCGTTTAATCGAAATGGAAACTGTAGAATTAAGAGTAGAATGACAGTATGAATTAAGCATAGAAATGGTTATTTTTTGTAATTACGGGCAAAGCATTCATGGCTATCTGCCTAAGGGTATGGATGCCTTCGTAGAGGACTTTCTAAGGCAAACTGACTTGTATACACGTTACACATGGGAAAAACTACTAAAACGCCCATGCAGCCGGCCCATTCACGGGATTCGAACCTCGGACCGAAATACCAGTATTCAGCGACTTTACCATTTGGATGCTGGTAGGCCTTTAAGTTAGAAATGAAAGCTGTAAACTATCGCTTTCAATTACAAATTATTTTTCAACATTTTAGAGATATCAGTTTTGTTTAAAATTCCGTTTCGTAAAGTTTTTCAATTTAATTTTTGGGGGTGAGTATCAGTTTGCTTTAAAGTTTGAGTTATCTTCCGATTTGGTCTACTTCTAGGTATAGTCATTATCATTTAATACCCTGAGTGCCTGTGCTCAAAGGAAAGAAAAGTGAAAATATAGTAATGGTAACAATTAATTTGAATGACTTTTAATCGCAGTTCTCGTAAAGCTTGAAATGCTTTTTCTCTGTTTTAATCCTGGTTAGAATCACGATATACTCACTGATAGCCAAGTTCCTACTTGAAGAGCATTTAGATTTATAAAGTGTGCATTAATATTAAGCCCAGCTCCAATTTAATCGTGATGCGCGTTCACTTTTTACAGCATGTAATTTTAATTGAAATACCTTATTATTTTTCTATCATAATGCTAGATTTTCCACCTGTTAGATGAGAATTTTTGGCTTGATATGTAATCACATTTAGTATTTGTGTTTTCGTACTTAGATCTTGTTGATCTCAGTTGTGATACTTAGATCTCAGTTGTCGTGTTAGGTGATATAGCTGCCTTCTGTTGATGGTAAATAACTCAATGCTAGCATCAATAAAGGTTTTGCCATTCACTTGTTTATGATCGGCCGAATATGTTGCATAATTTTTGGAGTTACATAATAAGTGTAAGTCCAAATCTTCTCTTGCTTCTGAAGCTGATTATTTTTCACCGTGAAATTATCTTCGAGAAATAATCTTTTATTCACGGCTTCTCTTTGAAGATATGACTGAAATATTATAATTTATATTTTAATTTTTTTCGATTTGAGGCCTAGGAACAAAAAAAGACATTGATCTTTACTATCTTCTGAATATAAATTAGATAGTATTTTTACATTCAATTAATAATACGCAATTATGTAAAGAAAATATTTTATCAAGTTTAGATACTATTAGTGCAATTAATGAAAAATACCACCAAATGTGATCTGACTGCTTTCGCCGTGGTTAAGTTCCCAAGAAAGAGCAAAATCCAATAAACAAATACTAAGCTTGGGAAATTAAATAGTTAAAAAGAAGCCATATTTTATATTTATATAAAAGATGGGGCTTGACTTGTGAGGGAGCAATAAATCAATTTCTGACATCTCTTTTCCTTTTAATATAAAGTATTACAAGGATAAATTTTGTGTCATATCTGAGACCTTTTCTTAATGGAGTAAATATGTTACAAGCATACTTACGTGCAGATTTAAGTTACCTACGTATTGATCCTCTGTACTAGAAGAAGTGTAGAACAGGATTAGTTGGTCTCTTATATATGTAAAACAAAGTTATACAGAGTAGTTTTAAATGGAAATGAGGATATTTACAAAGATGAAGTACAATGGAACCTTGGATCACGAACGCCTCACTTCATGACAATTCGGTTCACGAACAAATTATCTGAATAAAAAATGCCTTCGATGTGTCTCGAGTTACGAAATCACAAGTTCTCAACATGGGATTTTTGAACCTGTTTCGAGAAAACCTTAATTATCTTAATTAACATTCAGAGACTTCTGGAAAATTTAAACAAATTTTTCCAATTTTCAACTGTTTCTAACAAAGCAAGTGACTCAAACCATAAATTCGGTCCGGACGAAATTACGTCCAAACTGAGTAGCAGACAGACTTTTTAAAAGCACTGACATTTAGGATTTTTTTTAATCTATGCTATTTTATCTTGCACTTGGAAACTATTGGCTTAGAAGTTAGTCGTAAAGAAGTGGAGAAGTTCCTAAGAACTTAAAAAAGACAACAATAAGAAAGAGCTCGAACAGCTTCAGAATCAACAACAAAAGACGGCTATGGAAGAAATATCTTCAGAAGAAGAGAAAGATAGAAAATTATTGTAGTTCTCTGATCCACAAAATTAGTATAAGTTACGATGGAGTATGAATGTACCGTTTCCATTTAATGATATCACCTTGATAAAGCAGCAGCAAATTGCAGTATAAGTATTCTCAATGACAATACCATGTTTCACTGTAGAAACATTTACGTAGGCAACAACAAATCACACTGGACCAGTTTTAAGTAAAAAAACGGATCCAAAAAGTCTCAAACAGGGTCAGCAATTGCTTAGAGCTAAAGAATAGGTAGCAGAAGATGTTCCCTAAAGAGAGTTATCTGATGTTTCTTATCGAACTTAATTTCTCCGCAAAACAGTATCGTTCTCAACATTTTCAGCTTGAGCCATTCATTCTCAATACGTGCAGGTGCAGTAAAATTAATTTAAGTTTTCGTCTATTTTATCTGTTTAAGATTGTGTTTATCTTTTCTGTGTTATATTTACTAATTTCCATTGGTCTTAAGCTTGCGCACAAAGTACTGTTGTAAAGTTTAAATGAGAAATCATCTGTGGCCGAAGAAAGAATTAATCCAGTTTACATTAATGTTTACGGGAAAAATTGTTTCGGTTTGCGAACTTGTCAGTTGAGGAACAGCCTTAAAAAAATTCGTAAACTAAGGCTTCAGTATATAAAACTATACATACACACTTACAGATAATGCTATTTCTGAACATTAATAATTTCACGAATGTCTTTTTATGCAATGAATTATTTTTAATCTACTCGTTTCTACTCCTTTATCTTGAAACAAAGTTCTAGCTGACAGTCCAGGACAGATTCTTGGAAGTAAACTTGGCAGAATACGATGTAGGTGGGAAGACTCTTGGATGGAATATTACCACATTCACATGCAGGCCTTTCAGTTCACGTGCGCACATAACATTTCTGCTGAGTAACGGTTGAAACATCGCAGAAACTTCCCATAATATTTCAGCACACCGACAGTGGTTTTCGATAATATGGTATGCTCTTAAATTCGTTGCGTCCAACTAAAAAGTAGAGAGAAAAGAAAAGAAATTTAATTCAACTCAGATTGCTTGTTCAATTTGTATTGAATAGCAACCTTCGTTAAAAGCATTATAAATAAAACTATTTGCAATCATCTATTTGCGGTAAAGAGAACAAAGGTGACATAAGCATAGCAGATTTGGAATAGCGTTATTATGCTTCATGATTAAGCAGTTACTTATCGATCAAAACCACTGAACATTCACAAATTCTTTCTGGATTCGACTCCCTGAGGAAAAGACCGATTTTACGGCAATTTTGAGGACTCCCTTCCCCACACGTGTAATCTAAATATGAGTCAATTTCACTAGAAAACTAACCCACTCAAAACAACCTCACGAGCTTTACAAAAACAGTTAGAAAATGTTCGTAACTTATGCTGTATAGAATGTATAAAAATTCTTATGTACTATTACATTAAAGCGTGTAAAAATCAGAATGGATTACTTTCATGGATGTCACTTATACAACACCCAAAACATTCAGGCACAGATAGGATTCAGTGCTTTGTTTCTAAAGAAAAGTCATTTTAAGTAATTATTTCTTTAAAACCTCTTTTGGGGATTACAAGTGTTTGTCTGCATGTCTTTTTTTAAGTCTATGCTATTTTATCTTGCACTTGGAAACTATGGGCTTAGAAGTTAGCCGTAAAGAAGTGGAGAAGTTGCTAAGAACTTAAAAAGGATCACAATAAGAAAGAACTACAATAGCTTCAGAATCAGGCATTCAGGCATAGATAGGATTCATTCAGGTCCAAAACATTCAGGCACAGATAGGATTCAGTGCTTTGTTTCTAAAGAAAAGTCATTTTGAGTAATTATTTCTTTAAAAACTCTTTTGGGGATTACAAGTGTTTGTCTGTATCCCATGTAATGGATTCAAACGTAGATCTGTGGCAGTCTCATTTAAATAAGGTACCATATCAGTATGGTATTCAAATATTCAGCCAATCTGAGGAGCCTTCGTTGACAGAAAGTATGCTGTAATTTATTTTCTTTAAAAGAAATAATGATGTTTACAAATAAACAGAGTTTTATAATAAGGAATGAAAGTGTTTCTGTCATTTGTTTCTGCAGTGTAACGTTTAGATATCGGTCTGGCAACAACAACAATTTGGGCTTCCCTGCTTCGCAAGACTTAACTGCATTACAGGTCCACTCCCCTTTCAGAACAAGTCGCAGAGGTTCAACCTCCGCTATAGCCCCTCCAGGAGAGGTATTTGGTATCGGTTGGGCATAATGTAGAAGACAGGTTCGATTCCCTGTGAACGCATAGTAATTTCTCAAGATTCTCGGCTTTAGAATTCCTATGTCTCTCGGATGCCTCCTAAACTAAAACTGATGAAGACGATAATTGCCGCTTGTTTGAACTGGCCGACAAAGGATACCCATTCATTCTTCACATGGAGTGAGATGGAAGGAATTAAATACATTTCTCTCGTGTTGTCTTGAAGTGTAGTAGTCAGTCCGGTAACATGAAAATCCTGATTCGATTTGAGATAAGTTATCAGAGAATACC